TTAAGGAAATAGCTCAAATTTAGGGACCTTGCCTCTATAGTAAATTACTTTGTCAATCTACACTGAGTGGCCAGATTATTATAACCACCTGACGTTTGTAGGCTAATTAGCTATAATTTCGCGCTGAAGTTGCTAGAGGGCCAGACCATTATAACTATGGAAGCAGGTTGTTTACCACGACAGTAGAAGTGATTTTGTTTCTGAAGATATGGGTAAACAATGCGACTTAACAGCCTTTGAACGTGGGATGATTGTTGGCGCTCGGAGCCATGGAGTGAGTATCAGCAAACGGCAGAATTCGTGAAATGTTCAAGAGCAGCTGTTGTTAAAGTGTTTAAAGACTGGACTGTCAGCCGAAAATCTGGGTCTGAACGTGCGAATTGTGGCCGTCAGCGACTAGTCAATGTTAGGGCAGAACGGAGAGTGGCAAGACTGGTACAAGACAACAGAAGGGCAACAGTGCAGTGTCAGATTCCTCGCATCACCTTTCAACATCTCGTAGAGTCACGAGGCGGCCCAACAAAGTCATCTCGTGGAGTCATCTCGTGGCCCAACGAAGTACTGATGGGGTGGTCATAATAATCTGGCGACTCAGTGTATATCCTTAAAAAGAAGAAAGTATATGCTAACCAACCTCACCTGCCACCTGTGCTGCCGAACACCGCTCTGTTGCTGAGAAATGGTCCCCCAATGTCCACAAGTGATGGGCCGAACACACCCCCGTGTTCGGTTCGAATTCGAACTTTCGAACATGGAAAAAGTGCGAATTCGAACTCAAACTCAATGCAAGTCTGTAGGACCTGAACTTTGAAAATCAAATGTCCCCATTTTAAAGGCTTATATGCAAGTTATTGGCCATAAAAAGTGTATGGGGATCCGGGTACTGCCCTGGGGGACATGTTTAAATTAAAAACACTTTTTAAAAATACAGTTTTTTTAATACAGTGATTTTAACATTGCTTAAAGGGAAACAATAAAAATGAAAAATTCCTTTAAATATCGTTCCTGGGGGGTCCCCTTAGACTGCCTGTAAAGTGGCACATCTGTACGATGCATAGAACCTGCTGCAGCAAAACAGAAATTTCTAAAGAAAAAAATGACTGATATCGACTCTCTCTTTTAACTCCAGAAACACACTTCATAGGGCTGCGGTGTAAGCAGCCTTATATAGCTGTGAGTCATCATGACTTTGCCCAACCATGGCTCTCACAGTTCTCTGTGCGCTGATTGGGCAAAGTCTTGCACCTGACCTGTGGCCAGGTGCAAGACTTTAGCCAATTAGGGCTTCAGAAGGCGCAGCCCGCCGAATGCCCTGATAGTTTATGTGTTCGGCGAGCACACGAACTAGCGATGTTCGAACATCAAGCCCAACTCTAGTCACTTGTGACGAGGGAGCATGGACCTGGCCAATCAGGAAGCCGGGCGCCGTGTAATGATGGGTTGCCTGGCTTCCTGATTGGCCAGCTTCTCTACCAATCAGGAAGTGGGGCAATGCGTCATTACACGGCGCCCCGCTCCCTGATTATCCAGAAAGCCAGCTCCATGCTGTCTGGTCACCTGGTGGTGACCTGAAGCCGGTTGGCGCGTCCTTACATGCCGCCAGGCATCCCAGCTAATCAGGAAGCCAGGTGGCTAGTCATTACACGCCACCTGGCTTCCTTAATGAGACTTCTGGTATCAGTATTCGGTATCAGCGAGTACAAAAAAAAATTATCGGTACCCGTACTCGATATCGAAAAACCGGTATCGGTGCATCCCTAGTGACAATGGTGGAATATTCCTGGGCAATCTGCATCAGTAGCATAGCAGCATAGTAAACTTAGGGACAGGTTTATAAATGCTATATACTATACTACAGCATACGGTGAGCAGATGCTGTTTGCACTGTTCTTACCAAGACGGTACTGAGGAACATAGTAAATTCCTATGCTCCTCAGCGTCATATAGTGGCATTAATGCCATGCGAATAGCATCCATCCAGCTATATGCTGGTCAGAACATTTATAAACCTGTCCCGAGGCGTTCTGTGAATGGACAAGGGGAGCAGAAGGGCAGACAAACGACAGTGTGGCTTCAGAGTATGCAACTCTCTTGAGCACCAAAAGTATAGTGTGAACTATACTATCCAGCTTGAATAAAATATTACAATAATCACACACATACTTAAAGTGACATTCACATCATAATTACATATAAGGGCCTGTTTACACGAGGTCCGTTTTGTGTGCTGACCAACTCCGTACGCTGCTGCACTCAAAATGCATCCCAATGTATCCCTATATGTTTTATGGGCTCCAGTTCTCACGTGCGCAGTCCGTTCAGCTTACGACAGAAAAAATACTGCATGTCACATTTTGTCAGGTCCGGAAACGGTCAGGAAACGCAAACGCGTCAAAAACGCATCCAAAACGCATCCAAAACGCACTGCACTGCAGCTAACATACTAACAGCCCCACTCCAGCAAAAAAAAAAAAGAATTTTTTTTTTTTTAACTTGAACGCATCAAAAACACGGCCAAAACGCGGCAAAAACGCACTGCATCAGTCTGCAGATCCGCACCTGATCAGGACCTGATATCATGTGAACAGGCCCTAATATACAATATTACAATATTTACACTACACATTTAAAAAAATCCTCAAGTCCTGCTTTAACTACCTATTCTAAAATATCAAATGTTGCTTTTGATTTGATTTTAAAGAGTTATTATATGTATAGGACGGCAACTAAAAGTTTAGTTTATTCCTAAACACAGCTTATTAGTGTATGTCGGTATGGTGCCATCTAGTGGAGCCAAATGATATTTCCCTTTCTGCCTCATTGACACCGGAACTCCTGGGTTTAGCTTATCCAAACATAGAAGTTATTTGGGAAGTATAAACAACTTTTATGATGCATATATCACTATTTTTCCTGTTTAAAGCCGCATTTGCATGCGTTTCGTGGTGTTTCAAGCTACCAATCCTGGATAAACATGATATATTGCATATAATGCATATAAACTTAGGTTTGACACTGCCGGTGCAAATGAGGCCTTAGTGTATGATATAAGTAGTGTTTAAAAGAACAACTCTCTCCACTGCTTATAGTCACACATTAGCTTCTTTTCATTCTCAAAATGTATTGCCATTTAGACATGTGCACTGCCAAAATATTTGTTTAGTTTCGTTTCGTTTCGTTTTAAATTCGGATTTGTGTTATTTCGTTTTTCGGGATTCGGATGTGAAAGTCAATTCGGATTCGGATTCGGACGAAATTCGTTAGCGGTAGTTCGTTTGAACGTTCGTTTAGTTTTGGTTTCTTATTCATTTCGTTCATTCGTTTGCAGCCATTTGAGGGGGAAATGTTTTTCTCCTCTAATGTCACTTTGCTCCAACGAACGAAACGAATAAGAAACGAATAAGAAACGAATAAGAAACGAATGTCCGAATGAACTACCGCTACCGAATTTCGGAAACGGATATTCGGATTCATTTGCATTCGTTATATCTGTAATTCGGAATTCGGATACATCCGAATGTCCGAATTTCCAAAAATTTGTCCGAATTTCGATTCGGAACGAAACGAATCGCACATGTCTATTGCCATTTAAAAGCTAACCGGTTGCTATGAAACAAGGAGTAAAATATTAAAACCTATGTGTCGATGCAAATGGATTTTCGTAATAAAAAAAAAGAAAGTTATTATTTTCTAGAAATGTCTTGATTAAATTATTTACATTTTTATTTTTCACAGTGCATTTCATTTTCATTCTGACCCATATGGTTATATACTTAGAATCTAGGTACAACAGCACTCATTTTAATGTATCATGTATAATAAGGAATGTAGGACTTTCATGGTACAAAGGTATCAAAAACAATCTTATTCAGTTACATAAAATTGCAGTTACAGTATTTCTGTTCATATAAAATATTCATAACATAAAAAATGAGTACAGATAGCTCTCGTTTTGTGTCGGTGTTCTGTCGAGAGCTCCAACTCCTCGAGATCTCCAACCATCTGACTTCCGGTTGACTTAGAAGTAAGAGGTTTGGCTGAGAAGGCTGTACTGCAGGTGCGCCACCCACGGCATTTCCCTATAAAGTATTAAAATAAACTAGGGCGACACTAATCCAGCACGTTATTCATCTGAGTTGCCCCACTCAATATGGCCTTAAGCGGTGCAAAGTGCTGGATAAGTTATTTGCTGATGAGTTCAAATAGGCCAGAACAGTACTGTCCTCAAGTGTACGGTATTTATCAGCAAAACCGAATGTGTTGATTCAAAGACTCACCTGGTGGCCATTCACTAACAGCCCTGCCTTGTAAATGACATTTACCCAGGAGTCTTTTCTTCTTTGGAGTGTCCTGTTTGCAATAATATCTCATAACTTGAACTAGATTACAATATACTTTATATACAATAGAAAATCATTTTGCACAGTAACATCCAAGTATTATTTAAAGCCCAACCCATCCCAACCCAACCCATCCCAACCCAACCCAACCTGATTACTTTGTTTTGGATAGAGTAGAGAAGTGTTAGAGCCACTGCCAGGTTTTTATGGTTGTCTGTGACCTTAGTGAGGAGAGTTCTCTTTACTTTCTCTCAGGACAGAAAGTAATTGGAGAGCTTTCTTATCAGGACACAGACAAAGCAAAACATTTTTTAGTAGTGTGACTAAGAGTTAGAATTTTTGAAAATATTTTTATTGCTGCCTGTGCCTTACTGTCTTGGTGATAACTGCTCCACCAATTTTGTGCATGGGGGTCACAGGAACAGGAAGTGAGGTAGCTCTTCGGAATAATGTTAAAGTACACTTGGAGAAATGGAGGAGCACAGGGGTACACTTGGAGATATGGTGGCACGCGTAAGTTCATTTGGAGATATGGAGGCACATAGAGCCATGATAGGGTCACATGGAAGTGTGGTAGCTCTTCTGAATAATGTTAAAGACAGAAATGAAAACCTGACAGAAATGTAACTCTTCCCCAATTTATCTAAAGCAAGAAAAACATTTTAATTTGGTCGGAATTAGGTTTTAATCTTCCACTGTCAGAGCTATACATCCTTCAAAAACCAATCAGCTATGTTATGAACAACCTGATATCTTGGACTCTGCTTTATGAATGAACATGCTTTACAGTAGAAATATGACCATCCATCATCTAGTTTCACATAGTATTGGGATCTCCAGTTGAAATACTTTTGGTACTTCACATCATCTTTGTCCAACTCGAGAAGGTAATTTGCCAGTTCCTTTGCACTTGGAAAATCATCTACATGAATGAAGGCATCTCCTGGGACAAAACGTTCATAGTTCTTACGGGATGTCCCCAACACAACTGGAACAGCCCATGAACCAAAGGCATTTGACCAAATCTTCTCCGTGATATAATCTTTATATATGGAATTCTCAAAAGACAAATAGAATTTGTATTGCGATATTGTTGGATGGAAATCTTGTGAGCTCAGTGGCATGTGGTTAGCTCCATAAACATCTATTGGGATATGTTTCTTCAGCTCTTCGTAATAAGCAATGCGAGGAACACCAGGATACCATTTGCTGACTACCCAAGATACCAGCTTAGACTTCTTGGGAACGATGACCTTTTGAGGATCTTTTGTTATTTGCATCCGGCCGTATGGGATGAAAATATCTGAATCCTGACGGAATGTCATGGTCGCATTGAACAAATTGTCCACCATCTCTAAGTTTCTAATAATCAATGGAGGCTCTAAGTTAACCCACACCCAACGCTGAAAAAAAGGTCTTGGCTGTTGAGGCAAAGCCTTTTTATTATACATTATATCAGCATGATGTATAAAAACTGCATCCGCAGTACTATATAGACTCCTGTCTGTTGACAGCTTGCACCCATGAAAGCCATATTGTGTACACTTGTCTAAGGCAAACTGCTGCCCCCACGGCCAATTCCATACCAGACCAAGAGTGTCTTTTGGTGTTGGTGTTGGCGTTGTCTCTGTCGCTAATGTCCTGTTCCAGACCTCACTATCCTGCTTGCGTGTCTCTTCAGGACATTCTGATTTATATCTGAATGAAGCAATGTCTAACCGATACCAGCAGAATGAAACAAGAACTGCAATTAGAAATACAAGAAACAGGATTATATGTTGCCGACTGACTGATGCCGCGATCATCTTCAATCTATGAAGAAATAAAGAAGCAATACATTACATTTCAAGGAAAATTCACCTTGTTCCATTATTATTTTTAAACAATGAAATGTGCTCGATCTACCACTTTGTAATGATGATGAAGGAAATGCAGACCCAAACTGAAAGAAATTTAGTTTGCTGAAGCACCATACATCATACAAATACCTTTTTTCCATTCTTTGTTAAATTTCTGTGCTGCTGATTTCCTGCAGACTCTTTGCAACTGTGCTAATCAGCAATGGCTGCTTGGCATGTTTTTTTTATGTTGACAACAATGTACCATGCATGTATAATGTATGATAAAACAGGTGCTTGCAGTGGCGGAACTACCGCCAGTGCAGGCGGTGCGGGCGCCCGGGGCCTCAGACTCTGGGGAGGCCCAAACAAGATGCCGGCCGCCGGATCAGTATCCAGCGCCCGGCGGGCCCCTGGTCTCTCCGCCGGGAGTGTCGGATCAGCCGTTCATCCGACACTCCCGGCCAGTGGCATAGTGAGGGGGGGGCCGGGGGCGCCGGCTCGGCCGGTCGCACGAGTTGACTGGCCTGCGGCATCAGACGCGGCTCTGTATTCGCCGGCCGCCGCTCCTCTAGTGGGTCCTCGGCAGGCCCCTGCGGTCTGTCCTCTACAGTGCCTGTTTAGAAGGCTGCATCTGCCTGATCCAGCTAGTATGTGATTCGGGCTGGCTGGATCAAAACTGGCTGGATCAAAAAAAAAATCTTGCACCAGGGCCCTTTGTTCCTTAGCTCCGCCACTGGGTGCTTGCAGTCTTCATCTGAAGCCCACGGGACAGGTGACAACACAGGAGATCGGTCGGGAGACAGGGACAGAACATTGTTACCCTATACCACAAAGTACCTGAACAAGGATCTTCCTGGCAGAATCACCAGGTTTGTTTTTTTCCCAGATATAAACTAAAAGATATTTGAGGTTTTGGTTAAAGGGGTTTACATGTATCCTGTTGACGATTCTACCCCCGAAACCACTAGGTTTTCATTTGCCAATATGCTAGTTAATATCACTGTTTTTATTTTAACAGAGTTTGCAGAAGGTATACACCAGAATCTTAATCTTCTCCTTCCTGTACCTTTCAATCTCCTAGCAGGGCCAGATTAAAAGCATCACAGGCCTGGTGCGGAGGATTTTTTAAAATGGAAATGGCGACGGTTTATCAGGGCCCTCTTCCTCCTGTCTGAACATGGGGGATCATTGTGAGCTCCAGGGGGGATCATTGTGAGCTCCAGGGGGGTCATTGCGGGCTCCCCGGGGAGTCAGTGCAGGCTCCAGGGGGCCAGAGAGAATGGCGACTGCAGCCACAGCAGATGCGTCTCTCTGCTCAGGCACATCAGAGGGCCCTCTGATATGCCTGAATAGAGGGCCGTGGCTGCATGGTCAGCTCGGTCTGACCACAATCAAGGACAGCTCGGCCCCCCTGCTCATTATCTCCGGGTCTGTCTTTTCTTTCTGTTAGACTGCAAGCTCCTTCAGACAGTGTTCTCAGTCCTATACTGATTTGTATATATTTTGGGCACACATCTTTGCTGGCGGGATTGAATCATTATCCAGCTTCCTGTAATGGACTACCCATCAACACATAGGAAAGATTTTGGGTGGCTATGTTTCTGTTGCCCTTTGTGCTCCAGTGAGACGTTTTTTTCGTCTGTCTATTTGTGGTGATGATGGGAGTGTCATACACTGTTTTTATTGGATAAGATGCTAAGAGTTTGTATATTGCAAAATTTTTGCGAAGTCTGAAGAAGCTGATGAACATCTGCCGCTCCATTGTAAGCAGGGATAAAGACAACGTAGCCTATAGGGAATAATGTGCTGCCATCCACTATATAGAAGTTACTTCGAAAAAGGCAGACCACTTTACAAGGAAAACTCAATAGGAATAATTTAGGATTGATAAATGGGCAATTTAAAATGTTTAAGAAATTAAACATGCATAAGAAAAATCATATGAAAGCCATGGGTCATGTGACAAAGCGCACCAATAAAAATATGCATGATTTCACCAACAGAAGTAAAGTTTATTAAGCATGTAAAGCAGTTGAAAAGCAGAGAAATAGCACATACCGCCCCCTGCACTGGATATATCGCCCCCTGCACAAAAGTGCGAACTAAGGCATTTGATGCAAACGGTCGCTGAGAAAGAACCTAAATTTGGCCCTTCACCGTGCTCAGGGCCAGCCCGTGATCCACTCCACGTTGTAAAAAAGTAAGAATCCTGTTCAGAAGTAAAGAAGGATGGAACACAGGACCATTGGGACAGGAGAAACCTGGGGCAGAGCCAGCTGTACCCGCCCCCTCCCGTTCCGCCAGTCAGCGCTGGAGAATCGGAGCGGGGAATCCAGTCCCTCCCCTGTCACGGCTCTGTGCCATGACAAGATCGAGAAGTGAGCGATTGCCGGTATGTGTTCACTCACTTCCCGATCTACTGAGCTGACCTGTGACAGTTTCATTGTCACAGGTCGGCTAGAACATTGTCACAGAAGAGTTCCCCTTTATTCTCTTTTGCTTATTGAACTCTGAACTCCTAATTCCAGGACTGTTAAGTATTCACCTTTTATTCTATTTTATGTTACTGTTGTATATATATTTTGTCTCTCTTTATTAATATATTTTTCTGTATATTTTCTGCACCGTTTCTTTTATTGAAGGGAGATCCTAAAAATCGTTAAGCTTCTCTCTACGCTCTGAATATGAACTTAAAGTATCCTTGCCTCTGTGAAGAGCGCTACTGTATAGTGAATCCTGTCATATTCCTGTCTGAGAGGACAGCGATATCACAGATATTGTTTAAGTGTTTTAAATAGTCGCAAATAGTTGCTGGGTATGGTCTGTGTTTCCGTTAAAAAACACATGGTGGCAGCGAACGTTTGTGGGTAAAGTGTTAACTGCGGTGTTAACCAACCCTGGTGACGATTGCTCTTAGTCTGCTGGCCTGAGATCGTGTCCCGCGAGCTGGGAAATCTCTGTGCAGGGGGAGGCTGAGAGTGGTATCGCCACGTCATTGTGACGCCACGCTCGTTTCATAACTGTGTATAGTCACATGTGATTGACGTATAGGAAGATTGAGCCAGGTGTACGTCACACTGAGGCCCCGCAGAGCCCACCACAGATCCGGAAAAGCCCCCCTGAGACCCTGCAGAGCCCACCACATATCATGTACAGCACACCTGAGACCCCACCTGAGGCTCTCAGGTGGGCTGTGCAGAATCTATACTGGGCTCTGCAGGGTTCTTTACCAGCACAGTGTGATTCTCTTACCTGCAACTTCCCAGCCTGCCTCCTGACAACATCTGCTGTCAGCTCGAGCTGCACACTGCTGGACCTGGCCTCTTCCATGGCTGGACTGGTGCTGCTGGGCCCTGGCCTAATCCACCGACCAGCACTGCGGGACCCCACCTTCTTGCCCACCCTCGCCTTACTGTTTTTGGGGCAGCATTTCTGTCCACCCCCCTGGAAAGTGCCACCCAAAGCAAATGCCTTGGATAGACACCTGGGTGTGGGAAGGGGGGGTGTATTAGTTTTCGTGTGTGGGAGGGTTGTATTTTTCTGTGTGTGTGTGTGTGTGTGTGTGTGTGTGTGTGTGTGTGTGTGTGTGTGTGTGTGTGGGGGCATTCACCCCTCTATTTTT